GTCACATGAGCACCATAACACCCCCGTTTTTTGCCATGCCCGCAAACACAAATCAACCACCTGATCTCACAACCAGTTTGTGTCTTTCTTATTTTTTGAAATCATACACATCTTTCCCTTTTTTTATTTTTGCATTTTTTTTGTTTTTCCAAGGATGAAGAAAAAATAAATTTGTATCTGATTCTGACAGCGGAGCTCATTTTCTAAAAAAAATGAGCATGTTAAAGGAGAGAAGAGTCACTTGTCCAGATCCTCGGACACATTTTTAATGCTGTTGTGAAGGGAGTTTGCTAGTAGGCACGCAACTGCAAGCTTCGCCCCGACTGCAAATTGCATGTCTTCCAATAGTTACGCAATTGCATGTGCATCTTCTGATTGCAACTCCAACTCAGTACTGTTCTGTCCAGGTGAAGGAAGGCAATTGCAGTTGCTACTATGCACGCAAGTGCAAGCGTCGCCCGGCTATAATTGTATGTCTTCAAAGAGATTGCAACTCTTGATTGTTTTGTGAGGGATGAGGGGAGATTCAAATTCATATTTTAAATATTTGCCAGCAAACTTAATTATTTTTCTTTTTTTATTATTTTGCATCAGGTGGCGCACAAGTCGGCCGCATGAGTTGCTTGTCTGGCTACGCAGTTGCACACATGTCAGCCGCATGCAATTGCATGTCCTCGATCGAACACAATTACATATCGCACACAATTACATGTTATTCGCATGCAAATTACTGTTTCCCCTTCCAAAGTAATATTGACACCCATTTGCACACTAGTCGGCCACATATAGTTATTCGTTGGTCACAGACAATTAAATTGTCTTCTTCTTCATATTTTGTCTGTTTTTATTTTTTTCTTTGTTGCATTAAATATTTCTTTATCATTTAAAAATACAAAATACCTTTTGTAAAAAAGATAAAAAAAAGAAGATGACATAAAAAGAAGGAACAGAGCATTAGCGATGCTAGCGTAAAATATAAGAGCTACATTGTGCTGTGTAGCAATACACCAACGGGACAATGTTGTAGCAATTCCAGTAAAAAGCACAAATAAAAAAACAAAAAAGCACAAGCACAACAAATAGACAATGTCAACACAGCCCAACAGCAGCCCACGTGGTGAGCCAACAAAGGCCAACGGAGGCCAACACATAACGAACAGGGAAACTGACTCCAGCCATGCGAGCGAAGTTAAATCGTGCGATCAAATTATATATTAGGTTAGTCGACTTAGACTTCGCAAAGTCTAAGTCGACTGAGATCTAGACAGACCCATTAGCAAAACGAATATTAAAGACACACAAGATCCAATGGTTCTGAAGTTAGATGTGCGGTAAGTATTTCACATCTAAATGTGAAATAGCAATTCGGTTAGGCAAGGTCGCGAGGATACAAGCTGCGCGCGTACCCCTTCATGTCGTTCTTGCATCATTTCTTCGTTTCAGTTAACTGAACGTGTTATCTTCTTCGTTTCAGTTAACTGAACGTGTCATCTACAGATTCATAGTATCCGTGCATCTGTTCTTCCCGAAATAACCATTTGAAGGACATGCATGGCGGGATGCCAATCAGCAATTCAACAGCTAACCAAAAACGGCGCTGTGAGCTTCAGCACGGGGAGGACGAACATCTCCTTGTTTCTTTTGGCTCAGCGGGCAGCAGTTGCTGCGGGATACTGGCCACTCTCCCTCGGCCTCTCCGGCCGCCCAGCATCCAGAGCACGAGGTGGATGCCGACGTAGGCGAGCACGGCGGCGGTCAGCGCGATGACGTACCCGGACGTGTCCCACTCCCGGCTGCTCCCGGCGGCGTAGGCGCCCAGGAGGCCCAGCAGGTCCAGCACGATCGCCGTGTTCATGGCGTAGAGCAGCAGGGCGTGGTCCTGCAGGGACTCCTGCAGCAGCAGCACGATAACCACCACCGACGCCACGAAGGAGGTGGAGTTGCAGTAGAAGAAGGCCCGGAACCGGGCGAGGTCGCTCCCGCGCAGCAACGGGTTCCCCGCGGTGGCCCATCGCTCCGACACGCCGCCCGGCGGCTTCAGGCCGGCCTGGTAGGTGACGCTTGCCGCCAGGATCGCCAGCAGCATCAGGTACTTCCGCCGGCTGGAAGTCGCCTCCGTGCTGGGCCTGGGCTTGGGTGAGCTACTTCGTCGTGGCCTGGAGGAAGACGGCGTGTTTGCCTTACTGCTGCTGCCTGCGGCGGCGCTTGACCCAGAGGAGGAGCCGTTTTCTCCGTCGAGGGTGGCGCAGCTTTCGAAGAACTTGAAGAACACAAGCAGCTGCACGACTATGAAGGCGACGACCGCGCCGACGAGCACGAAGACATAGATGGACGTGCGCAGCTGCCGGGCGCACCCGGCGGCGTAGGCGCCCATCAGGCCGAACAGGGCGACCACCATGCACACGTAGAGCGCGTAGCACCGTATGCCCGGCCGGTACAGGTTCGGGTTCACGAGCATGACGATGAGTGCGATGGACGCCATGAAGCTCGTCGAGTTGCAGTAGAAGAACGCCAGGTACCTTCTCCGGTATTCGTCGTGGTCTTCGAGGACTGGGGAACCCGCACTGTATTTGGGGCCATCTTTGGTCCAGAAGCCTCCCGGCGGGGTGAGCCCGGCCTGGTAGGTGATGGTGGCCACCAGGATGGCCAGGAGCAGCAGCCGCTTGCGCCGCTTGTCGATCCTTCTCTTCTCCTCGTCGCTCAGGTCCTCGTTGTCGAGGGTGAAGAAGACGACATGGATCACCACGTACACCAGGACGGCGCCCGCCAAGGCGACCACGTAGATGGAGGTGCTCACGTCGCGGCAGCTCCCGGCGGCGTAGGCGCCGATGAGGCCAAACAGGTCCAGTATCATGGCCACCTCGAGCGCGTGCCCGCTCATCAGGCTCTTGTTCTGGACCATGAGGATGACGACCAAGGACGCGACGAACGCGGTAGAGTTGCAGTAGAAGAACGCCTTGTACCGAGCAGCGTGCCTGAACAGGAGGATCGGGTCGCCGGCCTTGTAGCCTGGTGGCACAGCCTCCGGGTCGCCGTCCGACCACACGCCGCCGGGCGGGTCCATGCCCGCTTGGTAAGTGATGGTGGCGGCGAGAGTGGCGAGCAGCAGGATCAGAGATTTGGCCTTCTCGATGCCTTCGTTCTTGTTGCCTGTGTCCACCTCGTTGGCGAGGCTCCCTTGCCACCCGCCGCCTGATGTTGCCAGCAACTCACGCGCCGGCGATGAGCTTTGACTATCGGTCTGGTTCTGGTGGCACCCGCGTTGTTGCAGCCAGTGTGACGCGCGCGCGGAGATGCTCTTGAGTCTTAGCCAGGAGCCGCTGCTCTTGAGAGGATCCGGGACGAGCACCATGACCACCATCACGAGGAGGATGTACACGAGGACCGCGGCGACGAGCACGACGACGTAGGCCGTCGTGTCGGCCTTCCTCGAGCTCCCGGCGGCGTAGGCGCCCAGGAGGCCGAGCAGCACGACGAGGATGAACCCGTACATCTGCAGATCCGCGTAGTACCTCTGCAGCCGTCGTCCCAGGAGCAGCACGATGATGAGCAGCGACGCGACGAACGCCGTGGTGTTGCAGTAGAAGAAGGCCATCAGACGAGCCGACTGGTGGACCTTCAGCATCGGGTCGCCAGCTTCGTGTCTGCCCTCGGCTTCGCCAAGGAAGCCACCGGGCGGGTTCAGTCCGGCAGCGTACGAGATGCCGGTCGCGAACGTCGCGAGCAGCAGCAGCACCTTGCGCTGCTCTTTGAGCTTGAGCGCGTCATCCGGGCTCTCCTTCTCGCGCACCACCACTTGCGAGGGGGAGGTCTCGCCGGCCTCCGGTGGCGCGTAGGTGGCCAGGAGGATGTGGATGCCGACGTAGGCGGCGAGGGCGACGACCAGCGTGGAGACGTACACGGTGGTCGGCAGGTCCTCGCAGCTCCCGGTGGCGAAGGCCCCCATGAGGCCGAGCAGGTCCAGCACCATGACGAACCGGAGCACGGCGAGCCACGCCGTCCGCCTCTCGTTGAGCACGAGGAGGAGGAGGTTGACGACGAGCGACGCCGCGAAGGCGGTCGCGTTGAAGTAGAAGAAGGCGAGGTACCGCGGAGAGTGGTAGAGGACCGGGTCGCCGGCCTCGTGGGAGCGTCCTTCTCCGTCGAGGCCGGACTCCTGCCAGACTCCCCCGGGCGGGCTGAGCCCCGCCGCGTACGTCGCCGTGGCCACCAGCGTGGCCAGCAGCATCAGGTACTTCCGCAGGTGGTACTCCCACGACGGCTCTTGTTTGGGCGCCGCCGCCGCTCCGGTGTCGAACTTCACCTTCTCGGTCGACGTCGCCATTTTCCTAGCCACGGGCAGTGAGCTCTATCTCTGTTATCTTTGGTGCAAGATTGCAAGCGTGGGAGGAAGATGGTGTGCCGATGGATGGGTGCGCTCGTGCCGCTGCATATATAAACCCTTGAGCTACGAGCCTACAGCTACGTCAACACGTGCTGACTAACTCAGGACGCCGTGTTCATTGAACGTTCCACCCCTCTTGCGCGGCCAACATAATTAAATCTGTTCTAGGCCATCCCATAGGAAGTGAATTGCAAAAAACCACCACATTTGAAGTTTAAGCACCAGATTGCCACCACATTTGTTGCGCGTCCCAAAAATCCACCACTTTTTTTGTAAATTTTCGCAATAAAAACAAATGACCGCTTTGCCGCAGTTAACCCGATTTCTGACAGGGCTGGCCCACCCGTCAGGTGCCACGTCGCAGAAACCAGACGGCGCACGGTTTGACGGCCGTTAGGGCACGCGCGTGGTCAAAGCATTCCCGTCTCAGTCTGCTTGGCCCATTCTCCCCTCTTTCTCCCCCGTCTCTCTCTCTCTCTCCTGCGATGACGGCGGCGGCTAAACCTAGCGGCGGCGGCGACGAGTCAGCAGGAGGCGGAGGGACTGGAGGCGATGGTGATGGGTTCTCGAAGGTAGACAACTGGCTCGGCAGCAGTAGTTTGCCGACGCAGCGAGCTCCTTCACCGGAGCGATCCCCTTCGCCCCCTTCGCCGCCGGAGTGGGACCTTGAGCGTCGTGCGGCGGCGGCCCTAGCACGCAAGATCAGGGCTTCCGGCGTTGGAGAAGGCCATCAGTGGGCTTCAGGGTTCGGCGGCGTGTGGTAAGATTTCTTCCTCGTCCACCCCCCTCCACCCCTCTCTTCCATGTAACTGCATTCACTGGATTGAGATTTTAGGGCTACAAACAGTGCATCTTTGTGTTTGTTAAAGGGTTGTTAGATTTTAGGGCCGTTTCATTTTAGGGCTTTGTTTACTGGATTACTGAAGATTATTTTAAGGCCGTTTCATTTTAGGGTTGATATAGTTAATATATTCTCTGTATAACATGTTACAGTAGGAATTATAGCTCTGGGTTTATGGATTTATGCATGAATGCTTTGTTTACTCCTTGTTAATTACACTTAATTGTTGTCCTGTAAATTATGTGGAACTGAATCAATCAATCAAGCACTAATTCTCCTACATTTTGTGTAGTTTGGATGATGAGATATGGGAAATAAGGTACCATTTTCAAGGAAAGACAACTTGGAAAGGACCATTTCCCTGTCAGAAATCACTTATATCAACATGTTAGCACTGCTAGAGACTGAAGAGGGATATACTGAAGCTGACTACATGTTCTATATGAAAGAAGAGGGAAAGGGGGCAGCAGGGATGCAGATTATTGACAGTGAAGATAGTGTGGAGGAGATGCTAGACCATTATGCTGAGCAGAAGGTGCTCAACATAACTGTAATTAAGGCTAATGAGCCTAATCCAGGAGAGTTTAACAGGGCAAATATTATGGAGGAGCAAATACCTATAAATAATGTGGGGGATTCCAACATTTAGATACATTAAAACCGAGCACTCTCTCAGCCCTCTCAAGCCATCAAGGCTTCTGGCCATCAGATGTATGAGTTTAGGAATTTTTGGCCGTTGGATCAATTTGTGAGTGTTCGTTAGTAACCACAGATCACTAATGGCATGGGCCGCTGGTCCGGTAACAAAATGAACGGTCTGCCATTACTTGGGCCTGCTGGGCCTTCGATGTGAAAACGACCAACCAAAAAATTGCGCATATAATATTTCGCAGCCGCACGTCGCTCGCATGTTGGCAAACTTTTCTGCGCGGGCCGACTAGGCGGTCGACGAAACAATAAGAAAATACTTATATCAGAACACGGGTTACTAAAAAAATTAGAACACAGCCTCCCGTCCCGTGTGTTCAGCAGCGACTCTTTGCAAGGGGAAAAAGGTTGTTCGCAGTCGTCGATCTCGCGAGCGGGCGAACAGATCTATACGAGGCGAGCGACCTACGCCTTGCCGGGCGGGAGAGGCCATGTTAGGTTCTTGCGATGGGAGCGAGAGGATCTCCTCGTGACGCCGTGGGGCAGTGATGGGACAGCGAACAGTTGCCTGGCGATTCAGTCATCAGCGATAGAAATCCTCATTGATACGGACCTGAATGGCAATTGATTTACCCACTTACCGGCGTCCGTTTCTACTAATTTAATGGCAATCGATGTGCCCAGGTCAGTTACTCCACTGGCATCCATATAGTCTCGATAATCCTGTTGTTCCTCCCACCTCCTCCTTACTTCGGCAGGTTGGTGTTGGGGAATGTTGCAGAAAACAAAAATTTTCCTACTCGTTTCACCAAGATCATCTAGGAGTTCATCTAGCAACGAGTGATTAGATGCATCTACATACCTTTGAAGATCGCGAGCGGAAGCGTTCTAAAGAACGGTGATGATGTAGTCGTAGTCGACGTGATCCAAATCACCGATGACCAGCGCCGAACGGACGGCACCTCCGCGTTCAACACACGTACGGAACAGCCACGTCTCCTCCTTCTTGATCCAGCAAGGGAGGGAGGAGAGGTTGAGGGAGATGGCACCAGCAGCAGCACGACGGCGTGGTGTTGATGGAGCTGCAGTACTCCGGCAGAGCTTCGCTAAGCACTATGGAGGTTGAGGAGGTGTTGGGGAGGGAGAAGGAGGCAACCAAAGGCCAAGGCGTTCAGGTATGAAGTCCCTCCTCTCCCCCACTATATATAGGGGTGCCAAGGGGGGGTGGCCGGCCCTAGGAGATCCAATCTCCTAGGGGGTGCGGCGGCCAAGGGGGGTTTCCCTCCCCCCCAAGGCACCTAGGAGGTGCCTTACCCTCCTAGGACTCTTTCCCCCTTAAACCCTAGGCGCATGGGCCTATGTGGGGCTGATGCCCTTGGCCCATTAGGCCAAGGCGCACCCCCTTACAGCCCATGTGGCCCCCCGGGACAGGTGGACCCACCCGGTGGACCCCCGGGACCCTTCCGGTGGTCCCGGTACAATACCGATAACCCCAAAACTTGTCCCGATGCCCGAAACAGGACTTCCCATATATAAATCTTTACCTCCGGACCATTCCGGAACTCCTCGTGACGTACGGGATCTCATCCGGGACTCCGAACAACATTCGGGTTACTGCATATACATATCCCTACAACCCTAGCGTAACTGAACCTTAAGTGTGTAGACCCTACGGGTTCGGGAGACAAGCAGACATGACCGAGACGACTCTCCGGTCAATAACCAACAACGGGATCTGGATACCCATGTTGGCTCCCACATGCTCCACAATGATCTCATCGGATGAACCACGATGTCGAGGATTCAATCAACCCCGTACGCTATTCCCTTTGTCTATCGATATGTTACTTGCCCGAGATTCGATCGTCGGTATCCCAATACCTCGTTCAATCTCGTTACCGGCAAGTCACTTTACTCGTACCGTAATGCATGATCCCGTGACCAGACACTTGGTCACTCTGAGCTCATAATGATGATGCATTACCGAGTGGGCCCAGTGATACCTCTCCGTCATACGGAGTGACAAATCCCAGTCTTGATCCATGTCACCCAACAGACACTTTCGGAGATACCCGTAGTCTACCTTTATAGTCACCCAGTTACGTTGTGACGTTTGGCATACCCAAAGCACTCCTATGGTATCCGGGAGTTACACGATCTCATGGTCTAAGGAAAAGATACTTTGACATTGGAAAACTCTAGCAAACGAACTATACGATCTTGTGCTATGTTTAGGATTGGGTCTTGTCCATCACATCATTCTCCCAATGATGTGATCTCGTTATCAATGACATCCAGTGTCCATAGTCAGGAAACCATGACTATCTGTTGATCAACGAGCTAGTCAACTAGAGGCTCACTAGGGACATGTTGGTGTCTGTTATTCACACATGTATTACGATTTCCGGATAACACAATTATAGCATGAATAAAGACAATTATCATGAACAAGGAAATATAATAATAATGCTTTTATTATTGCCTCTAGGGAATATTTCCAACAGTCTCCCACTTGCACTAGAGTCAATAATCTAGTTACATTGTGATGAATCGAACACCCATGGAATTCTGGTGTTGATCATGTTTTGCTCTAGGGAGAGGTTTAGTCAACGGATCTGCTACATTCAGGTCCGTATGTACTTTACAAATCTCTATGTCTCCATCTTGAACATTTTCACGAATGGAGTTGAAGCGACGCTTGATGTGCCTTGTCTTCTTGTGAAACCTGGGCTCCTTGGCAAGTGCAATAGCTCCAGTGTTGTCACAGAAGAGCTTGATCGGCCCCGACGCATTGGGTATGACTCCTAGGTCGGTGATGAACTCCTTCACCCATATTGCTTCATGTGCTGCCTCCGAGGCTGCCATGTACTCCGCTTCACATGTAGATCCCGCCACGACGCTTTGCTTGCAACTGCACCAGCTAACTGCCCCACCATTCAAAATATACACGTATCCGGTTTGTGACTTAGAGTCATCCAGATCTGTGTCGAAGCTAGCGTCGACGTAACCCTTTACGACGAGCTCTTCGTCACCTCCATAAACGAGAAACATTTCCTTAGTCCTTTTCAGGTACTTCAGGATATTCTTGACCGCTGTCCAGTGTTCCTTGCCGGGATTACTTTGGTACCTTCCTACCAAACTTACGGCAAGGTTTACATCAGGTCTGGTACACAGCATGGCATACATAATAGAACCTATGGCTGAGGCATAGGGGATGACACTCATCTCTTCTATATCTTCTGCCGTGGTCGGACATTGAGCTGAGCTCAATTTCATACCTTGCAACACAGGCAAGAACCCCTTCTTGGATTGATCCATATTGAACTTCTTCAATATCTTATCAAGGTATGTGCTTTGTGAAAGACCTATGAGGCGTCTCGATCTATCTCTATAGATTTTGATGCCTAATATATAAGCAGCTTCTCCAAGGTCCTTCATTGAAAAACTTTTA